TTTTTTTTTTTGTGGGGGGGGGGGGAGGGAGGGGGTAGGGTACATACCAAACCACTATGTTGAAGAAGAGAACTGGTAAGAGTTACATTGTGATTATTAATTACCAAAACGAAAAGAAGTGATGATTAGGGAGGCTCAAGCCCATCTGACATTGAAGGCATGCCAACAATAAATAGGCTTCATAAAACCAGTCAATGGATGCCCCTCCCTCCCTCCCTATGGTCCTACAACTCATGCTTTAAGCCAACTTTAAATTTGTGCCATGTATATTAATTGTTAGTTGTTACATGATCATAGGCAACACAGGAGGTAGTATACCACCTGTGTTTACACATGATTGTATTGTTAATGACGGTGGCAACTCCAGGAGGGGTGACATGTCAGGACAACATAAAAAATTCTTTGCTGGTATGTGCATGCTTTATTCTTAAGTAAAATGATTATTATCCAACTCGGTGATGTAATTGCACAACGGAGATCCATACAAGCTTGAGGGGCGAAACATGGGCAAGAATTGATTTGATTGAGCGGCCATCAGAACGGCCCTCAAAATCCATGAAAACCAACGAACACTTGACGTGGACCTGTAATAGAGAGAACAACAATGGCAAAACAAATCACAACATCAGAAAAACGAAAGTATATGACACTGCAATTTTATGACGGAATGGTAAGATTGCTCCAGATATGGTTGATGACAAGGGTTCGAGTCAAAGAATCAGCCGCCCCACGTGCAGGGTTAAAGTTGCATATCCCTGACACCACAGTAACAAGAATCTCGCGCACTGTGATACCTTTTTTTACTCTATATGGTAGTTTACTGACCCACAAAAATATAAATCTATGATATCAAATGTACATTTTCTATTTAGTCATTTTTTGCATCACTTTACCTAACCCAGTTTCTTTCTCTTTTTCTCTTGGAGAAATTCATATTTTTCCATTATTTGAGCTGAAATGAACTTCAAGAAACTAAAAGCAAAGTAGGACTCACGGTTAGTTCTGAAGATACAACTTTGGATGGAGTTTCATCAAGTATCAAACTAGCAGAGCCTTCATCAAGTTTGCCATCAGGATCTCCATCAACCTAGACAGAAGAAAACCATCAATTAAATAAAAAAAATTGTGCCTGAAGCCCAAAAATCTAACACGTGGGCCATTAATTTTGACTTTTATTCAGGAATGACACCCTCTATTCTTCTAATTAAACGTGGAAACTTAGCGAGTGCATCAAGTTTATTTTGTGGCTTCTTAGGTACAGCTAATAAAACGCAATACAAATATCCGTTATCATATCAGTTAGGTGCTTGTTTGTTTTTCCTTCTGATCTACTCCCTTCTTCTCAAGCAGTCCAGACATTTTTCGCCAGACTGATTCCACTGGTACATTCTTACTAGAGTGATGATTAGCCCAAAACACCAGATTGAAAAATGTGTTCACAGATGAAATTAACGACATCATAATACAATGACACACAATGTTGCCAAAGGAATTTTATAATAGCTATCAATGTAAATTGAATACATCGTGATCCTTGAATTTAAAGGGCAATGTTGTTAAGCAGGTAGTTTGAATTGAAGGACAATAAGTTGAAAAAGTTATAATTATAAACCAAATTAATGGTACTAGAGAGCAAAACAAAATTCTTCAAGAGTAATTAATCTAATAAAATATCACAACAGCTACAAATAGAGAGGCAGAGATAATAATAAAACTTACGCGCGTGGATGTCTGATCCATGTCTTCTTCCTTGATCACATAATCGTCTGGATTGATGACTTCACCAAAATCATCCCATTCGGAGGAATTTTCAAAAAAGGGGAACATTGGGGCAACACTAGACAAAGGAGGAACAAATCCATCAATTAATATGTCCCGGTAAGAACCACCATGCCGGCCAGCAACTGCAAGGAACAATCCATCAGGAATTTAACATGCATCAAAGGAATCTAGATATCAAATATATTCTGAAATTGAAATGAACTTAAAATCTAAAGTAGCATAAAAGATCCATTCAGCATTGAAACTGCACTCAAAAGTGAAATTCAACCTACAAGAATCACAGGGCCACCAAGAGGAAGAGGGCAGGGGGGTTTTTGGCACTGGGGGGGGGGGGT